GGGAGTGTCGGAGTATTTGCACAAGAACCACTAATTTTGTACAGTACAAAGTCAGTGTTCTTGCACAAATACTTGTGGCTAGTCTAGACAGGCAGCAAGATTTCGCGCAAAAGTGGCTGCTTTTGCGCAAAATCTTGCCAGTCTAGACGCACCCAAGTAATGGGCTGATATGCACTGGAGAAAAGTTTCTTCATGTAACTAAGCGGAGCCCAAGTAATAGTATACAGTATAGCAAGCCCTGTTTCTACAGCCTGGTGCTTCAGTATAAAGTTACTAGAAACATTTCAGCTATGAAAGGAAGCAAGACGTCCTAATGCAAAAGGGAGAAACACACATTATAATTCTTACAGAAAACCTGTGTAAGTGGCAGGCAAACATGAAACAGGGGTGTGTCATGGGACAGACTCACCACCATGGCGCCTCCAGCTGGTTGCCCTGGGAATTAGCTTGTTGACTCACTGGACGCCTCCCTCTAGCTCAGGGTTCTTAACCTGGGGTGCAAGACATGTCAGATTTTTATGACATACCTTAGGTTTAAAACTGACCTATTTCAATTGTTAATAAGGGGTGTGAACATACTTTGAGAACCAAAGGGGCGCAGGCTGCAGTAAGGTTAAGAACCACTGCTCTAGCAAGTGCCTCCTCGTGTTCTCCTTGACCACAGCATCCTCTTCAGGACACTGCCCTCTGGCAGTGCCCACTCCAGTGTCTGAGCCCCCCCTTCTTGGGGTTGGTGCTTATCCTGCTTGCACTCCAGGGTCCTCCCTGCCCCAGGGCACCCTGTTTTTCCCCCCAGCAAACACCCACTTCTCTTGGACCCACCTTGCCTCAGTGACTCACTGTCAGTCATCACCTAGCCCCTGCCTCAGGGACACACTGCTGTCTAGTAACGGCCACTCCTCACTGGCAAAAAGGGGGGAGTTGCTGCCCCTGCTTACAACGGCTGCCTCTCTACAGCCCTAGTAGCCTCAGGCCTTGCTTCAGGCCCTGGAGCCTGGGAGCTTGCTTGGCCAGACCTTCCCCACCATTGCTCTCCCTCCAGGAAGCCTCCTACTTCCCTAGCAGTCAAGTCCATACTGCTTCCTCCAGAGCAGCTGTCAGGCCTCCTCTCCCTCCAGGAGTCCTTTATACAGTCCCCAGCTGGGCCCTCATTAGCGAGAACTGCCTCCCCTCTGGCTTCCCTCTCAGCCCGCACCCAGGGCTGGGGTTTGGCCCTTAAAGGCCCAGTGCAGGGCAAATGCCCTGCCACAGGAGCTGCGTCTAGACTGGCAAGTTTTTCCGCAAAAGCAGCTGCCAGCTGTCTACACTGGCTGCTTGAATTTCCGCAAGAACCCTGACTTCCTACTGTCTGAAATCAGTGCTTCTTGCGGAAGTACTATGCTACTCCCGTTCGGGCAAAAGTCCTTTTGCGCAAAGCTTTTGCACAAAAGGGCCCGTGTAGACAGCTCAGCTTTGTTTTGCGCAAAAAAGCCCTGATCACGAAAATGGCGATCGGGGCTTTTCTGCAGAAAAGCGCGTCGAGATTGGCACGGCCGCTTTTCCGTAAAAAGTGCTTTTGCGGAAAAGCGTCCATGCCAATCTAGACGCTCTTTTCCGCAAATGCTTTTAACGGAAAACTTTTCAGTTAAAAGCATTTGCGGAAAATCCTGCCAGTCTAGACATAGCCGGGGTGTAAAAGAATAGCAAGTAGTTGACGACTCGCATCCTCCTTCCCGTGCTGAGGGCGAAAGGGGCTAGCTGGGGATGCGCTCCCCCCCGATTTGAATGGGAACATTGTTGGCTATTCCCCTTCATCAGGGAGTGAGGGGAAAGTGCAGTTTGCTGCATTCCTTACTGGCTAGGGAGCAGATGAACCTGGACTCACCGCACCTGGGGGGGACATGCACCCCTCCCCCGGCTGTGCCCACTGGAGCTGCAGTGGCCATAGAGAGGTGCTTCTCCCCTGGCCGCAAGCTGCTGCGGTGAGAGAGGGGCTGGGGTTCTCCTCTCTTCCGTGTGTAAATGAAGCATGTACATTTTCATTGTATTTAAAAAAATTGAGTTAAGGGCCTGAGCAATGCTGGGTACGTCTTCTAGTAACTTGAATATTAAAACATAATTCCTTGTCTGTTAGAACACATCAGATTATTCAACAAAATATTTTAAAGAGCCAATTACTCTACTGTCTGATTTGTATAGTCTCCACTCCAATAGTGCTTAAAGGCCCCCACTGAGAACTGAGAGGCCCAGGTGCCGTACATACACAAGTATGTGCATCATCCAGACAGAACTTGCCACTGAGGGTTTATGTCATTTGGAGACAAGATTGAATGTGACAGACAGAAATTCAGAGTTTTACTGTTGTTGATGCAGCCAAAGATGGGCCAAAAATAAGGGTAATTTATTGGTAAAACTGTGTTATTGGCCACTCCTAAGATGCAATTTCTATCCCAAAGAGCTTCCAGGTTAACGAGACAGAGACTGGGAGAAAGGAAGAATTACTAATCCGCATTTTACAGCTGGGCAACACTGGCACAGATGGATGAGATGATGTCAAACAGGGAGTCTGTGTCAGTACGAACTTGACGGTGGTGCCTTCAAAACTGCATTAAAATTATAAACTCTCAGTTTAATTCATGGTTTTTCCCCTTGTCTTGCCTGCAGACTAGGCAGCTGTGGAAGGATGCATGTGGTCTGGGTCAAGCAGAGCCTGCGTTTAGGCAGTCACTATAGAAGATGGTGGGGATCCATTAATGAGTTCCCAGGCAAGTTAAAGTGTTCGCCAACAGGTTTTTGGGTATTGCCTTTACGGACATCTGATGTGTGTCCATTAATTCTTTCCCATGGAGCCTGTCCAGTTTGGCCAATATATATGGCAGTGGGGCATTGCTGGCACAGATCACATTAGAGGATGTGCAGTTAAATGAGCCCCTGAGGTAGTGATTGATGTTGTTGGTCCAGTGATGAAATCGCCTGTGTAGATGTGTGGGCAGAGTTGGCACTGGGGCTGATTGCAGAGGTGGATCCAGGATGATTATGATGGAGATGTGTTGCGTGGTTACTGGAAAGAATTTGTTTGAGGTTAGGTGGTTGTCTGTAAGTGAGGATTGGTCTTTCCCCCAAGGCCTCTGAGTCTACGGCTATACTACGAGCCTCTTCCGCAAGAGGAAATGCAAATGTAGCACTCATTTGCATATGTCGCGCTCTCATTTGAATTTCCTCTTCCGTTCCCTTTTGCACAAGAGATTTTTGCGCAAAAAAGCCCTGTGTTGACACCTGTATAGATGGCACCTTTTTGCGCAAAACCCCCATTTTTGCTCAAGAGCCCTTGTTCCTCAAAAAAGGGGGGAGGTTGCACAAAAAGGCACTGTCTACACAGCGCTTATTTACGCAAAAACCTCTTGTGCAAAAGGAAATGCAAATGAGCGCTGCATTTGTATTTCCTCTTGCGGAAGAGGCTTGTAGTGTAGACGTATCCTGAGAGTGAGGGATCATATTCCAGGATAGGTTGTAGATTGTTGATAGATTGTAGATTGTAGAGGTTTAAGATGTGGGGTGTAGGTTTAAGATGTGATGACAAGTGGAATTCTGCTGTTTCCTCTTTTTGGCCTGTGTTGAAGTAGTTCATGTCTGGGTACTCTTTTGGCAAAAACTTTGTGCAAAAGGACTTTTGCCCGAACGGGAGCAGCATAGTAGTTCCTCAAGAAGCACTGATTTCTTACATGAGATCGTCAGTGTTCTTGCGGAAATTCAAGCGGCCAGTGTAGACAGCTGGCAAGTTTTTCCGCAAAAGCAGCTGCTTTTTGCGGAAAAACTTGCCAGTCTAGACACCACCAAGGAGTCTAGCAGGGTGAAAAGGAAGCTGTATGCAGTGGTCAGCAGGATACAGAGGAGGAGGCCTCTGGCAGTGAAGTTTCAGTTCTTAGATCTGCTCCCAGCGAAGCTGCAATGGCCCAAGTTTCTGTTTCTGCATACCACTGACTGTCAGTCTCAGAGGGGTGCACAGGGGCCCTGGCCTGCAATGCTCCTGCAGCAGGGGGTTCCCAAGATACTAAAGCAAGGAGAGGCCTGAGGTGTTGTGGCCCAGCTGGTGTGCGGGGCTCTGCGGGGGGGCAGGAGGGGGCGGCCCTTGGCGTTCCAAGGGGGATGTCTGAGGGGCCAGGGAAATTGC